TAAATAAAAATAAAATTAATTTCATGACAAAATACATTTCAATTCCTTTGGATTCAAAAATTGATTTTTGTAAACTGACACTAAAAACAATTTTGGAAGAGCTTTTCAGATTATTTCAGTGTTGTCAATAAAGAAGCCTGATCCAGGCGTGGTGGCACATGCCTGTAATCCCAGCACTTTGGAGGCAGGCAGGAGGATCTTTCTGAGGTTGAGATTAGCCTGGGCTACAAAGTGAGCTCAAGCCCAGCCTGAACTGCATAGTGAGACCCTGTCTCAAAAAGACACCTACACCAAAAAAAAAAGAGTCTGATACCCTATTTTTTTAGGGGCCAGGAGATGGCTCAGTAGAATAAGTGCTTGCCTGGCAAGCACAGGGCCTGAGTTCAATCCCTGGTTCTGCCAAAAAAAAAAAAAAAAAGGCTGATCAAAAAGGCACACACACACACACACACACACACACACACAAAAAGACACACACACAGCCTGAATTATTTATGCTTAAAAGAAAATTGATGTCTTCTCCTTCATATGTTTTTTGGAACATGTAAACAGATCTCAGTGCAAAAACTGTAAGAATCTAAAAACTATTTCATTTTTAAAATAAATGATGAATATAAAGGCCAAAATTCTACTTAAGAATAAACTGGGTATGGTGGCACACACCTGTAATCCCAGCACTGAGAAGGATGAGGTAGGAGGATTGCCTCAAATTAAAGATGAGCTTGAATTACAAAATGAGACCCTGTCTCAAAAAACAAAGAAAGAAAGAAAGAAAAGAAAGAAAGAAAGAAAGAAAGAAAGAAAGAAAGAAAGAAAAGAAAAAGCTTTCCCTGCTGTGGTAGTGCACACCTTAATCCCAACAGCTTAGTCAGCTAGGGCAGGAAGATTGTAAATTTGAGGCTACTGTAGGTCATACCTATCTCAAAATAAAGTGTGGGGTGTGTGTGTGTGTGTGTGTGTGTGTGTGTGTGTTATACTCAGTGGTAGAGTGCCCCTCGTTTCAGTCCTTAATACTGTAAGTGGGGGTTCAAAACAGGAAGAAAAGTATTTTTTGAGACTTTGGAAAATTAGGAGAGAGGAATGGAGGGGAGGGGGAGACAAGCGAGATGAGATGACATGACAGGACACAACAAAAGATGACAGGAGACGAGACAACATGAGACAAGATGGGACGAGCTGAGCTGAGCTGAGCTGAGCTGAGCTGAGCTTACCAGTGCACAGTGGTGCATGCCCATAGTTCCAGCACTGAGGGAGGCTGAGGCAGGAATATTACAAGTTCAAGTCCTACCTGGACAATTTAGTGAGAGCCAATTTAAAATTAACACTGACAGAACCAGTCCTAGCCCAGGTCTGGTGAGTGTGTGGGAGAGTTTCCAGCTACCCTGGGCCGGCGGGACCAGTCCCAGCCCAGGCACAGCATGGGCCAGACCCTCTCCCACCCCCTTTGGACGCCCCCCACCACTCTGCAGCACCTCCCCTACCCTGCCCGCAGAGTAGGAATTTCTGCCGCGTTCTGGGAACCCCCAGACCCATTCATAGCCCAGGTCCGGTGAGTGTGTGGGAGAGCTTCCTGCTACCCTGCACCAGCAGGACCAGTCCCAGCCCAGGTGCAGCATGGGCCAGACCCTCTCCCACCCCCTTGGGACACCCCCCACCACTCTACAGCACCTCCCCCACCCCGCCCGCTGAGTAGGAATTTCTGCCACGTTCCAGGAACCCCCAGACCCAGTCCTAGCCCAGACCCAGTGAGTGTGAGGGAGAGCTTCCTCTCCCCCCTATTCTACCTTGCCCCCTCCAGGCACAGCTCAGGCCTGGCATACATGCCTGGGGTGTAACCCTGCAGCTGCAATCCCTGCAGAGAGTGTAGAGGATAGATCCAACCAGCTAGTCCAGGAGCAGAACATCTTGCCACAGAGGCACAA